ACCTTGCAGACATCTTCCGGGTGACGCGGCCAGGAGGCTGGTGCCAAATGGTAGAAATCTACTTCAACGCGCAGTCCGACAATGGAACATTAACAAATGGTGAGCTCGCTGGGATCCGGCAAGACCGAGGACAGGCTGTTGCGAGAATTAAATTGAATTCTAACTGCATCTTGGCTAGATCATGCTCTCCGGCGCTGGTCCCGAAGGTACCTGCGGAGCGTCCATCCATACAAAGATCCCCGAGCTCCCTTACAGATGGAGGGAATGTTGCGCAGCGCGGGCTTCGTCGATGTCGAGTGTCGAGTGCTGAACCTGCCAACGTGTGCTTGGCCGAATAGTACCGCTCCCTTGCTTTTTCGTTGTCATGTGGCTTCGACACTCACAGTGGTTGGGGACCGGCGAAACGGTTGACTGACAGACGTGCAGATGATCGGGAGCGCAACATCGGAGCCGCCAATCGAGAGAATGTCCACAGATTTTTATCGTCTATGGCCGTCTACCCGTTCACAGAATTCCTAGGGTATGCTCTCTGCCACCGGGAAAGAGATTGCGGATTCGCGACTTACCACCGCGCAATAGCATGTCGATATCCGAAGTTCAAATTTTAGTAGCCCAAGCGAGAAGTGAGGCTAGCAATCCCTCGTTCAAGGTGAGATAAACAATTTATCTCTTTTGAGACTCTGTGCGCCGTGTCCCCAAGGATTACGCTGACCAGTGTGGACCGGTTCGGCGAGTGGGCAACCAAGGCATATTTCCCATTGTAAGTTCTCTGGCCTCAATCGTGGGATTCAGCCGGAGATTGACTAGCACAGGTACGTTTGCATTGGGAAAAAGCCCCGGAGATAGAATACACTGCAGGTCGTCCGGCGTCAAGGGATCTAAAATCTGCAAGGATTCTGTGGTGATGAGTCGGAGCCCGGATCATATTGGGCGCAACTTTTGAAATCTCATAGCATAGCGTAATGAAGTGTGGGTAAGGCGAACTCCGGAGTCAAGAAATAAGTCTCGACGTTCATGTGTTGGTCGCAAGTTGGTTTTCAGTCGTTGCACATCGACAGCATCCAGGCAGGGAATGAGGCATAATGCTTGCGGATGGCAAGACAGATTGATGCCTTGGCATCATTGGGGAGAAAAGGCTCTAGGTATGACGACAAGAGGGGAGTCCATTCGAAATCTCTTTCCATCCTTCCGCACAGGACTGCCAACTCGAAAGTTGCATCCATTGGGGATGCAGAGGGCGGGAGGGGCGCTCTTGCCGAGCGCCCCAGCGGCCCGCAACTTCCCACTGAATCTGGAGACTGCAATAGAGTTTCTGGTTGATTTTAAAGCCCGGATTATTGTGTACTGCTCTCAGGAGTCGGCCATGATTCGCTGTCAGCTGCTGTGACTTATGCATGCTGGCAACTCGATGTACCTTTTGATAACAGTTGCAAGCGCATAAGTTCAACAGAGCTTGTACATGTCATCCAGTTAGACCGGAGGGTGCAGCCAGGTGTCTGTTAGGCACATGCCGGGGTAAAGCATCTTCCGCATCATGGGAAGGCGCCACGGCTCAGCAGGCCATGGGTGGATTCCTGGAAATCACGGCATGGGTGTTGGGGAGGGGAGGAAGCGCCGAAGGGGCTTGACCCTCTTCTGAGTGGGTAGTCGCGACTCACGAACGCCACGCTACTACTCTAGATACCCAAGCAGGCAAGGGCTTGGGGATGTGAAGTTGCTTGCTGTCATGGCTTCTGAGTTGCTTCCAATGTTGTTGGTGATGTCACCATAACTTTAGACCCAAGTCGAGCAACGATAGAGCTAGCCAAGGAAGGTACTAGTGCCTCTGGTTGAAGAACAGAACAATCCACGCGTCTCATAATACGTTTGGGTGAGGGTTGGGAGCGACTCGTGGGCAACCCAGGGGAAAAGGAGGAGACGGACCCGACAGCTTGGTAAATGAGGCCCAGCCTAATCTACCTGGGGTTTCTGAGAATATGCCCGGTGGAACCGTTGGGCATCTTCACCAAGAAGAAAGACACAGCCCCGAGCGAAGGAATGACCTCGTAATTTACAAAGCATGAATTGGGCATTTGACCATTAACTACGAAGCAGTTCTCCATCTGGCCTCAACTCTGTGTGTCGTCTACGTGTAACATACATCCTTCGTGGGTGTTCTCGACGGATCCAGCAATTCTCTAGCTTACCGCGAGAGCCGATTTTAAGTATCCTGTCAAAGCCATCGATTTAAAGAGCTATATGGAAGTATACAGGGCCATTTTCATCTGAGGGACTCCCTTCCAGGCCTTCCAGGAACGGCTCATAAACCCTCTGTTCTGGAGGAAGTTTCCGTGGGTATTAGAGCAATGCGAGAAAGCTCTTTCCATCGGCGACAGAGTTAGTTCTCACGAGGTCCCAGCGGTCCTCATGGAAGATCTTCAGACAGTGATTGATGGATTGTGATGGCGCTAGGGCTATCAATTCGTTTTCGTGATGTCAGTTGGTGGTTCGAGCGTTGACACCAGCCCGCTAAGGACCCCGTAATCCCAGACCAGGCTCCTCCTGCCAACGTCCACGAACTTCGAAAAGCATGCCTTGGGTACTTTGCGCTTGATCAAAACTGTAATCGAAGATAAGACTATGCAGTATCGAAGAATAGTGCTCGGCACTATCACAAAATATTGATCACGCATCGTTGAAGGAATAACGCGCTCTTTTTGTCTTTTGTGGGTATTAATTGCCAATTGGAGAAGATCATCTGGCCAAGATTCTGCCAAAATCCAGTCGTACGCACAGACCTCGGGTAAGGATCAATTGATGGCCTGCACTCCTTCCAAGATCTTGACTCCCCATTAGCCAATGACAAGCTTCAGATTGCTAGCTCCAACATACTTCCTCTCCAACGCTGAATTTTCCTTGACAGCTGATGGAGCCACAGAGTACACTCCACGATAGCTTCAGACTTCAACAAGCCCACTTCATCTCGCCCCAGCAGCCTAAATAGGCCCTATCACTCAAAATGGCATCCAGAATTTTCGCCCGCCGCTTCGTCGCGACATCGCGCCTTGGAAGCGCCATGCCGCGAATCGCCCTCCCCCAACGATCGCTCGTACGACTCTACTCGACCAGCAATGACACCCCTCCCCTTCTCCAGAAGCTCAAGGGCGACTTGAAGACGGCGATGCGCGCCAAGGATGCCGCGAGGCTCTCCGTTCTCCGCTCCATCATGTCCGCTACCCTCAACGCGTCCAAGGGACCAAACCCCATCCACACCGATGTTCAGCTGGTTGCGCTGCTTAGGAAGACACAGAGGGCGTCGCTCGACGCCGCTAAGGAATTCAAGGACGCGGGAAGAGAGGACTTGGCGCAGAAGGAGGAGGAACAAGCTCAGATTATGGAGGAATACGTGGCCGGCAGTGGGGTCCAGGTCCTCAGCGAACAAGAGCTGAAGGCCCTGGTGACGGAGGCCGTTGAAAGCGCAAAGAGCGCCGGCGTGGCACCTAAGGCTCTTGTGGGAGACGTCATGAAGAGGCTAGCGGGAGCCTTGGAGGGCAAGGATGTGGACCGGAAAGAATTGGCGAACATGGTGAGGCAATTGGCTGAGGCGGCTTGAAATCAATCTTTTGTGCACCCAGTCCGCTCATGATCTATTACACTTGTACAATACTGTATTAAAAAGTCCAGATGCCTCAAGATACTACCACTCAGCATAAATGTGACCATTTCCCCAAGTTCTGTGCTCCAGGTCATGCAAGAATTGGTTGGTCTCTCTATTCCATGATTGCCGAGCTGGGCCTTTGGGAAGCAGAGAAAATCTTGGGACCAATCAATAATGATGAAACTAATCGAGTACAATAAATGCAATTAGAAGCAGGAAAAAGAACTACAGAAGAAAACGAAAAAAAAGGGGGGGAAGCAAAGTAGACCCCATAGGGGAAAAGCTGAAAAGGGTAAAAAAGAAGCGAACTGTGCTTCGAACTTGGACGTGACCGGGATCGAACCGGTGACCTTTTACAGACGCCATTGGAAATTCCAATGTTGATGCGAAGCAAACGCGATACCACTACGCCACACGCCCTGTTGCTTCTGAAGACTGACCCGCATTAGCCTCAGTCTTGAATGTATCGGTGTGGATATCACATAAAAATTGACACACGCACACAACCTGGGAGGACATTGATCAAATGGGCATAGCGAATAAATGCGGCAGTTTTAATCAATTGATCAATTTTAGTGCGCTAATACCTCAGTATTACTTGCAATGACGAGATCTCAGGAACCTGGTCTAAGTGGGGGAGCGGGGACAAGACAGTGAAATCAGCGCAAAAATGATTGACCAGTTGTCCGCCCCATCCACTGAATATGGTCCATTACCCTCCGTACTTGTAGTGTACATCGGGGACTTAATATGCTGCGACCGGCTATCCCACCTGGCTTTCCTGGCTTTCCGCTAAACTCGGTTATTGTTACCATTGAGGCTCTACTAAGAATTTCGAGAAGAGATCTCTCTCTTTATCCGACGCATTTTCCATTGCATTGTTCTATCGAATCTGTACAATCCAGCTCTTGAGTGTGGATCGCATCAGTGCGTACTCTACTTCGTACCCAGGTCACGCGGAACCACTCGTTTATGTCCGTTGTAAGTAATGACCTTGATAACTTCACCGGCCAGTACCGGCTTATCGCACTGAACCGTCCAATAGCATGCACAGATGGAGATACAGTCTCGGGCATCAGAACTCTTCCTCAGCGTCTTTCAGCGAGCCACTCTGTCCTGTTAGAGTCGGTGAGATCGTTCCCGACAATCCCCCCCCTGAACCCAACAATTCGAAGCGACCCAGCCCTCAGGAGACATTGTACGCCGGGCCGAGACCGGATCCGCCCTTCTTCTCGAAACAAAAGCCGCCCGCCCACTTTTGGACACCGTACTAGTTTCTCCCCGCTTCCAACCTAAGACCACTCGAACCTCAGAGAACATCCAACCATCAATCATCCATCGATAATCAACCATCAACAACACAATGATTCAATACCCGTCAACCATCATCCCCACGGATAAAATCCTCACAGAGCAAACGGCTGGGCTGGTTCGGACTAGTCGTCGGGCTAAGGGCAGCGGAAGCAGTCGGTTCGATAAACTCGTGCAAGACCTCAAGGATGCCCTCGGGCCATCGTCAGGCTTAACGTCCGACGACGTAGATGTCGAACATCTAACCCGACTCTTTGAACAATATGACCCTGCCGATAAGGGATGGAGATCGTATTTCTTTGGAGATGCCTCACGGGATTACACCCGCAACCTGGTGGACGAGGGAAATGGAAAGAGCAATCTTGTAGGTGTAAAGGTGTAGAACGGACACCGAGGGCGAACGCAGATGCAACTAACATAAGGTCCACCACAGTTGGTGCTTGTCTGGACTCCCGGGAAGTCGAGCCCGATCCATGACCATGGCAATGCTCATTGCCTAGTGAAGATACTCAAAGGAAACCTGACGGAAACTCGATACGAGTTTCCCAAGGAGAGCGAAGAGGGCAAGCCGATGACCGTCATCTCAGAACGGGTTCATTCAGAGAATGCTGTAGCATACATGTCTGATGAACTCGGCGTTCATCGGATGAGCAATACCGGCAGCGACTTCGCTGTGTCTCTTCACTGTAGGTGTGAACTGTTGCCGAGTGCCTTGACTTCGCTAACAGTTCGTCGGTCAGTGTACACCCCTCCAAACGTTGCCAAGGGTGGATGCAACATCTTCGACCTGGGAACGAGCAAGAAGCGCCACATCAAGAAATGTGGGTATTATTCGGCGTATGGGGAGCTTGTGTGCGAGTAGGGGACCGACCGGACCGGCTGGATCTGGCTTTGGGTCTCCAGGACGGAAAGCAACCTAAACCCTACACATGATCTCTGGTGATCAGCACCTGTGTCTTTTCTGGGTATGATTAGTATCGTTCCGTTCGTTCCTGTGATGTCGTTATGAGGGATATTCAGCGTGGGAACTTTGGGCATGCTTTTGGAGTATTGGTATAATGAATTATGGGCCCAAGATTGGTATCATTATGAAACGGGCCTTCGAGAAACTGCCCCCAACATGTTAATGAGCATTTCTAATGGCGAGAGGAGGAATGAGGTGAAGTTGAAGCAGGGGGGGTAGTTTAGCATATGAAAGATTGCTTTCCATACCACAAAACCAGGTCACGTGCGATGGCATCATGAGGTGCAGTGGTGATTGGCTTGGTGTTTTGGATCTGAAAATTTGGGCGGAGTTGGAGACGACGCTCCAAATTGGGCACGTGACATCGCGCCTAATTGGAGCAACTTCTTGACCTCTTGACACTTATCTCACCGCGTGGACGTCGCGCGGACTCGAGGCATAGTTTCATCCCATTCATTCCATTTCCACCAACGTTCTTTGTCAGCCTCTCCCGGTCTTTCTCGCCATCAGCCATGGAATTCCATAACGATGTAACTTTCCGCGGATTAGGGGCGAAGTACTTACTGAGATTGACTCGATTCTATCATGACGTGAAACGCATTCCAACACGGGCGTTTGTAAAAGGAAGGCAAAGTCTATGTTGTTCCTGCACCTGTCCTCTCCGCACCACTGGTTTCGGGCGCCTTCTTCTATCCTCCATCCTTCCTACCCCAATAATCTTAGATTTCGAATATACCACATTTTGCCTTCTAACTGGCTGCACCTACCTGCAGAACCTTCTGTGTCGTGCCTTCCTCTATCGTCTTGCTTGAATTTAGGCTTACTAGGTAGGGGTGCCTTCCTTCTTCTCTCGCATAGAATTTTCTGTGCCCTGCGGCGTGATTCATGCGATACACATTTCTCTGCTTTTAAGTAATCCTCTAGTCCTTCCCCCAGCTGCACTCTCTCCACTTGCCTGTCCTCTCATCCCTATCCCTCACTTCATCCAAGAGGCCCTTCGGATCCTGCTTCTGTTTAGTTAGGGACACCACGAGAATCAATTGGTATGAGTTCGTCACGAAAACGGCATCCCTCATCCGAGGATGGGGGGCTGGACACAGATTTCATCGGCGATTCCGCAGAAGGGGGCAAGGGTCCTTCTTCGAAGAAGCCCTGTCTGAGCCACATCACATACTCGAATGTCCCAGCGGAGATATCACTCCCAGACAAGCTTGAAGACCGAGTCCTTTTGCTTCAACAAGATGGAGAAGTTCACTTCCAAATTTCAAACCAAACCAAAGAGGCTGTGGAGCCTCCTCAAACTAATTTAGATACGCCGCCATCCAGCACGACCACACATTCCTCTACGTCAGAGAGCATCTCGAGCTCCGAGGGCACAACGAATAACACCCCGTCACCCAATGAAGCGAAAGACCTGGCCCTTACGGGTGAAGTCTCCCACGTTCCTGACCAGCTACAGCCCGTGAGCACTCTCTCGCCGAAACAAGACTCGGCCGAGCCCGAGAGCGGCTTGACAAAGAATGAACACATTGAAGTAGAGACTCCACAAGGAAACAGTGTATCTCCAAAGACCGAAGACGCAGGAACTTCAAAAGATGATCCTAACCCTATCACGGAAGACATGTATCTTGACCTGGAAGACGAGGATGCGAAATTCGAGCGGGCCACTATCGACGACAAGAGCTACGTGACCAACTGGACAGTCGATGAGAATTCACTGGCTCGCATGCCAGCCGCTCCCCAGCCCGCTCGAATCAAAACGCGGCTTTTGTTGCATCAACTGCAGGTGAGCTCATCACCTCTGCTCTAGTTTGTGTGAATTGACGGCTAATCGAGCGACACTAAACGCAGGCTCTACATTGGATGCAAGGCAAAGAGCATCCTGAATTATTGGAAGATGATTCGGATGTGATTCAATTCTGGGAACCCAAGAAAGGCGGCGGATACACCCATATAATTACTGGTGCGGTTGTCGACGACGCGCCTCCCCTTTTCTCTGGCGGGATTCTGGCAGATGATATGGGCCTTGGGAAAACGTTGGAGATGATAGCTCTTATACTCGCCGAGCCCGCAGAGCAGCCAACTCTGGTCGTGGCACCGTTGGGAGTCATGAGCAACTGGGAATCCCAAGTAGCCCGACACACATCCCCGGATCACAAGGTGCAAGTTGTGAGGTACCATGGAAAGGGCTGCGAGGCCACAATTGAAGACCTAGAGTCCTCGGCAATCGTCATCACTTCCTACAGTATATTGGCCAAGGAAACGAAACTACGGAAGGTAGCATGGCGGCGAGTCATCCTCGACGAGGGACACTTCATTCGGAACCCAGGAACCCAGACGGCCAAAGCTGCCTGCAAGCTCGAAGCTAATTCATACTGGGTCTGTACCGGAACGCCGATGTAAGCGATTAATTCCGCGGTGTAGCGCCTTAATTTCTTTTGTCTCCCCCTCCCTTTCTCCTCTCTCCCACTTTTTTCACTATTGGGAGGGAGCCTCGATCGCTAACCAGTTCCGACAGAATCAATACTCTGAAAGATGTCTACTCTCTTGCTAAATTTATTGGTGTCGAGGGTGGATTAGAATCCTGCCAGGTATTCACCAGCCTCATGAGAAAGAATCACCAACTACTTCAAATTTTCATGACCACGATTTGTCTCCGCAGAACGAAGAGGATGAACTTTGTCAATCTTCGACTGCCGCCAAAGACAGAGGAAGTTGTCCGAATCGAATTTACCCCAGGAGAGTACCAGATGTACAGAAAGCTTCTGTATGGCTCATCCTAGTCTTCGCTCTTCCCTGTTAAAGATGGTTTGAAGCTAACACACGGGTTACAGCGCGAGCGCACGAAAGGTCGCTGCACATTTCTTCAGAACTGGGAATTACGAGGTTTGGCGTACGTTGTTTGAGCGTATCCTTCGCCTCCGTCAAATGTGCGACCACCTGTCTCTGTGCAAGACGAAAATCGAAAAGGACCTCAAAAAGGAACTTCTAAAGCTCGTTTCCAAGAAGGATCCGTCCGCCTCCGATCTCCAAGAGGCCCTACGGCTAAGTGTTGAGGCTAACGGCACCTGCGCATCTTGCCAAGGCGCTCTCGAGCTGCATCGGAGGCCAGTTATGGCATCCTGTCTCCACGTATTTTGCGAATTGTGCCTACAAGAGACGATGAAAGTTGCATTGAGATGCCCGTCGTGTAAGAAATCCTTCGACAAGACACGAGTGATTCGGCTGGACGTGGAGCGTGCGTCAGCCACAAGCGAAGCAGTCATGAAGGGCCACAGTTCCAAAACGAAGGCATTGCTGTCGATTCTCGAGAAACGCCTGGCTCAAAAGGGGTCGAAAATTGTTATCTTTTCTCAGTGGACATCTTTCCTCGATATCGTTGCGAGGCATCTACTTAGGAATAACATCCAATATAGCCGTATCGATGGAACCATGTCGACGGGGGAGCGAGACAAAGGCGTTCAGTCCCTTAAGCGAGACAAGAATGTCAAGGTTATGCTCGCAAGCCTCCGCGTCGCTGGAGTTGGTATCGACCTGACTGCAGCCGATACAGCAATCCTGGCTGATACATGTAAGTGACTGTCCCTACCGCGGAATTCCTATGCTAGGCCTCTTTTTAGATATGATGGACTAATGTAACCCGGCTTAGGGTGGGCGCCTGCCGTTGAAGAACAGGCCATTGACCGCGTCCATCGCCTTGGACAGAAGCGGTCGGTGCAAGTCTTTAGACTTGTAATGAAGAACGCCATTGAGGAGAAGATTTTGATGAAGCAGGACACCAAGAGGGAGCTGGCGGGAACGGCCCTGCAAGAGGACTTTAAGCGGTTGATGTCTGCCGACGATGTTAAGAGGATGGTCAAAATTCTTCTTGAGGAGCCCAAGCCTGAGCTCGGTGACTCAAATTCTTCCCCCCAACCCAATTCCCAGCCCGGCAGTTCAAATCTTTCCCCTCAAGCCCAAGCTTGAGGGCCGGTGTTTCGTGACTGTTTTTCGTTGTATTTTATTTCCTCTCCTCTTTTCGTGTTAAGGATCGACTTGGTTGTTGGTAGGTTAGCTGGGGTTGCCGTTTGATTTCTCAGACAGCCAAGCTACGAGTGCTTTTATGATCTACCTGGGTTTATGCTCTGTTTTACGGATCCCGGAAGGCTTTAGTTCTCCAGCTGCAGGAGAAATGATAAATATTTGGTATTTGGGATGGTCATGGTCGAGGCTCTCCGGTAGCCATATGCTCCCCTCCAATTAGATGGCTGTTTCTGCCCCATCTCATTACTGGTATCACACTTAGGCTTTCAAATGAGAAAATACAGGTACATTTCAAATGCATCAATGTGTTCGCGAGCTAACGTGTACCAATCAATGCTCTGCTTATTCTGTCTTTCTCTTGCACACTGGCACTCTTTAAGGAGGCACCGCACCCCCAACTTGAGCCTCACCCCCAGACCCAATCATGGCCGTGACCTCAATCTCAATCTTCATCTCCTCCTCCATCAACCCCGCCTGGATCATGGTGGCTGCAGGCTTCGCCTCACCAAGCCACTCGCGAAGAAGCGGCCAGATGGACGGGAAGTCAGCGCGATCCGGGAGAATGTAGCGGACGCGAACGATGTCGCGCGTGGATGCGCCTGCGGATTGAAGGGTCGATGTTATGGTTGAGATGGTGTTTTTGGTCTGTTCTGTGATTGAGGGGGGCAGGGTGTTGGTGGCATAGTCGTAGCTTTTGCGGTCAGAGTCACTCGGTTAGTTGGTCAGTAGATGAGAGGGAAGAGGGAAGGGGAGGGCGAACCCCGTTGTACCGGAGACGAAGACCCAGGGGTGGGTGACTACGGCGCGGGAGTAGCCGATTTGGTCTTCGAAGGCGGAGTGGGAGGAGATGTTTCTTCGGGCCATAGTGGGTGAGGGGTGGTTTCGGTGTTGAAAGGGTTGGAGATAAGCGTTGAGAGATTTTGGTAGTTGCACCAACTTGGTTGATAATAAACTGAGGGATTGAACAATTCCCGCTCTCTTTTTTCTTGATTCTGCTTGTTCTATTTAATGGACAATGTGGAATTGGATTGTGAGTAAATCTACGAAGTATTGTGAGTCACTTCGACAACTGACCCGGAGCTGAATTCTACGCCAGCGCCGTTGCCAGTGTATCAAATCTTTGGGAACCGTCTAAGATCGGATAACACCGGATATCGTATTTCCACAAAAGGGCTTTTTCCAAGACTATATCAAACAGATCTAATATACAGCACGCGCAACGGCGCCACCAGCAGCAAAAGTGCTAGCAATAGTAATAAAACTCGACGTAGACAAAAGAGAAATCCCGCTAATTCCATGACCAGAAGTGCACCCACCCGCTATCCTTGCACCAAGGGCAAACAAGAAACCGCCAAGAGCCGCCTGCAGGTTCGAGACGCGCGGGTCCGGAGCGGGCACGACGCTAGGATACGCCACGCGGAGGGCATACACGCCGGCGGAGAGGCCGGCAGCGAAGATGAGGCTCGTGTAAGACGTGGGGGCGGGGCCGCTGGCGCCCTTGACGAACCAGGAGAAGTACTTGCCGATATCTTCGTAGACGGAGGACACGCCGACGAGGCACTTGCGTAGAAGGAGAGAAAGGAGCTGGGTGCTGCCGATGAGCACGCCGCCGAGGGCGGGAGCGACGAGCGGCTTGTAGGGGCTGGCAGGGGCATAGAAATAAGCGGCAGCGACGACGGCGCCGTAGAAGGCCTCGAGGACCAAGAGAGTGGCGAACTTAGAAACGTGCGCGCGCTCGTAGATGGTAGGAGGAGGTGCGGGCGGGCCGCCCTCGGCTGTGGTCTTGGCCGCGAGAGATTGGCGACGGCGGGCGATGATGGGGCCCAGGACGCCCGCGTAGAGGATTCCGCCGACGGTGGCGCCGCCGAGCGCGTAGTAGGCGGGGCGGAGACCGAGGGCCGCGGCGGCTATGGCGGAGCCGGGGCAGGAGGCGGAAAGGGCCATGCCGGCTCCGAGGAGGGAGCCGCCGATTATGTTGCCATCGTGACGGGAGATGATGTTGAGGGAGGAGGCGCAGCGGGGGGGGACTTTGGCGTATCCTAGCTTATCGAGGGCTGCGACGACGATGCTTTGTTTCGGGATTTTTGTTAGCGGCCGTTTTTCGTTTTTATTCCTTCCCCCTCCCTCAGAGGAGAGGAGAAGGGGGGGAGGTGTCTTCGGACTTACCTGGTGGTCGCTGTCGCGGCGAGGAAAGTTTGGATCATGTCGAAGTATTCGAATCTGAATTGGGAGATGATGACGGCCGGGTCGATGACGCCGGAAGAGGCGAGCGCTGCGCCAAAGGCGGCGCCTGAGATTAGAGTCGTCATGGTTTGCGGTTTATTTCTCTCTGCCTCTATTTCGGTTTCGCTGTTTCTCTTCTTTGCTTGAGATGGAAGATGAAGAAATGCCTCAGCGCAAAGTGAGGGTGGGCGCGTTATATAAATACAAGTCCGAGTTCGAGTGGGATGTGGCGTGGGATGTGAATGTGATGTGATGGAAAATGGATGATGGATGCGAGACCAGGATGAAGGGTCTTCAGAGCTATTGGCAGAAAGCGTCCAGGTGGCGCATTGACGACGATGGCGCCATAGCCGGGCTCTTTACTACTCTTGGAACAAGTTTCGTCGGCTTCGCTAGGGGGGAGGCGAGCTGGATTTTTCTTGATTAGAAATTCGAATAGCGGGCATCAATCGATTAATATTAAAGTAGTTTTTCGGTCGGCGAAGTGAAATCCCCGGACAACTCCTGTCTTCCCAAATGGCCGGGGATAATACAAGTCCCCACACAAGTCCCCGGAAGGAATGCCATGGCCGGCCGGGGGAGACTCGGTCCTTGGTCGCCGATTCTGTGGATTGACCAGACCTTGAACTGGGCTCTTCGAGGCTGCTCCAGCTGCTCCAGTTGGGCAATCGTTGTGTTGCGTCATGGAAGCTCGGGCTTCTGTGATCCCCGGATGACCCACTCAACCCCCAAAAGGAGGCCGAGAGCAATCGCAACTCTTCGGGCTTGGGGACTTGGAGATGCCCTCGATCGAGACGTCGGCGAGGGCAGGAGAAAAGGCATTATTAATTCGATCAATCCAATCTTTGATGGATTTTATCGTGGCGAAGCAATGACATTGTGTTCAGATTTCCCCTGAACCTTGGAAATGAAAAGACGAATTGATCCCGGTTGCGCAATTAACGAAGGAGCACAGGCGATGACTTCCTCGATACCGCGAGCTCCATTTTCACTCATTAATGCGAGGGTTGTCCATCACGGGCTCCTCCCTCTATTGTTTTCAAAGCCGTGTTCCGGGTTGGGTAGACATTGAGATTTTTCGACCCTAACCCATGAAAGACTCGACTCACTGTCCCCAACAGCCTCGCACACGAACACGTATCTCACTGCCCGTCATATCTTGGAATCCCCCATTGTTGCTTCTGGACACTGGCTTTGTACACCAGGTCGGAAGCGACTCGGCAACATACCACAACGGGACGGGACGTTGTCGACTGTGAGAGAGAGTTGAGAATGCCTCCGAATCTGACCCCGGACAAAAGCAGTAACTGATCCATTTTACTGAAAACGACAATACAACTCCGTTGGACACAGCTTTTGAATTCACGCCTTCGTATGGTGCCTATGCTGTTGACAGCTCCTGGAAGAATATCGGGCCAATTTCAATTGTTGGGAATAGCTTCATTCATTTGACTGTCTCCAAGAGGCCGACCTCTCGCTGGCAAATAGAATTCCTCCAGCGTTCCTGTATTGCACTCCCAACGTACTACTCTCTTCGTACGTCCTTCCAGCAATCGACGTTCCTGGACTCTGGAATGAGAATTCATGCCAAGATTCTATGAAAAATGGCTTGCTTTATAAAATTGGATCGAGCGCGAGCGCTCTTCTTCCCTCTTTTCCATCCCCAAGAAGAGAGTCCACCTAAAGTGTCTTGTACATCTTCTTTAAATCACGGCCCTTCTCTATCATTGGTGTCCCAACTTTACCATGTATCCAGATTGGCCTGAGTCCGATGCTGATTTGGTGCCACTGCCACTTTGCGATGGCCCAAAGCTGAAGCCATTCGACTTCCAGGGGCCGCAGAAAATCGAATTCCTCGATTACCTCGGGGAAGGCCTGCACGCACATGTCCTCAAAGTCAAAATTCTAGGACAAATCTACGCCTTGAAACTCGTAAGCAACATCCCCTGCCCCAACACATGAAACATGCAAGAGCCACCAAGTTAAAATTGGTCTCTAGTTCAGGTTCGGCTACGACGAAGACTGGTTAGGTAACGGACCGTACATCGACCCGGACAATCTCGAGGCCATGAGCGCCTTTTACGAATATTCGGAGCCTTTTAGCTGCGAATGTCGTGCTTTTGGTCGCCTTCAAGAAGACGGCCATGAAGAGCTGGCCGCTCGGTGCTACGGCTACGTGCTCCTCGACGAAGAACACGAACGTGTCGTGATGGATCAGTTCAGCCACCTCGAGATCAATTTCAACGGCAACATCCAATATAGTGGATATGAGGATTTGCGCTCACGTTTTGTGGGCAAAGGCGTCGACAGGGCCCCGCCCATCCGGGGCATCGTCAAGGAGTTCGGTCCCACCGAGGAGGATTTGCGGACAAGGGAAGTGCGTAGGATGCTCAAAGATGTTATTCGATTGCAGCAACTCGGCATCATCTACATCGACGTAGGGCACCGGCAACTTGTCGGCGGCAAGTTCTGCGACTTCAGCACCGCTATCACCGTGCCGCATTATATCACTACTCCGGAGCTGAACCCGCGTCTTGGGCCTGAGTGGATACCCGCCCTAGAGTTTGAAACTTTCCAGTTCAGTATCAACGACTACTGGCAATTCGACGAGATGGTGCGGGAGTGGAATGATGAACAGGAGAAGCGGAAGACCAAGAAGAAGAAAATCTCAGTCTACGCATTTCCCGGCGGGAGAGGTTGTCGAATCAAATACAACCTGAGAAGTACGCCATTACGGGAGCGCGTCTATTCATTCGTTGACCCAAGGCTGTATGGCTGGAGGACTTCTTCCTCAAGTCCGGGGGGAGGCGCGGCGGGGACACGGGGCAGACGAAAATCCGGCCGGAGGACAAAGGGTGGCAGGCACGGAAATCCGACAGGACAGATTTCGAATTTCCGCCGACGACTCGCTACCAGGCCACCTAGGTGGTACCTTGATTGTGATAAAGATGTGGCAACGACCCTGAAAAATTCAACAAGTTTCAGTACGTCACTGGAGTGGGAGTTTAGGGATGGTCTTATATTTCCACGGAAGAGGAGGTAGTTCCATTCTAGAACCAACATGGTTTCTCTTCCCTACAGGCCATGACACCTGTTACATAGAGAGCTGTCTTAGAAGAACTGACGTAGTTTCCTTTCCCTCCTTGAAGTGAGACAGACTTGTAGCCCTGACTGCAACATCACACATAACAAAGAAAAGCGGTCAATGGTTTATAATGTGGCGAACACACAGTAGAAGTTGCTGTGGAAGAGGAACTGAAAGGGAGGGTGTCGTGGAGGGCAGAAAAGACAGCCACTTCACAGGAAGAATTGATGTAAATAAGAAGTCGGATTTCAACTCGTTCAGATTGGGACTCATAATGAAGATTATTGTAATGACACTTTTTAACTTGTAAGTGGAAAGGGAGATAAGAAGAAAAGAAAAAGAAAAAAAAAAAATAGCAGTTGAATCAGGATAAGCGCCTCCTGCTATCCCCTCCTTTTGATCACAAGTTTCCTCCCGTCCTCCCTCTTTATGAATGATGATTGCCCCTTCTTTACTGAGTAGGATGGAAGTTCAGGGTATCAAAATTGCCAAGGTTTATATCGTTGGAATCGGCGGCCTCGGGCGTGTCGATACCGGCATCCGGGTCGGTGTTGAGCCACTCATTTTCATCGAAGCCAAGGTCTACGCCTGCAGCGAAATCGGCGCCGTTATCTGATGCGGGAGCGTTGCCGTCCGGGTTCGGGGGAGGATCCGTAAGTTGTTCAAAGCCCGAGTACCCGTGCCGACGGACCCAACCCCTATCACCACCGAGGTCGATCACATCCCAATGGTTGATTCTTACTACGTCCTCATCCTTTACGACGGCGCGGTTATGGTGGGAGGACATCCCTAGCATGCACAGCCACCACAAAGCAAGATCCGTCGTAAGTACGTCGATGCCGTTTCTACCCCATGGGATCGGCATGATGGATGCCTTCCAGTCCCCACCGTCTTCGCAGTAAACAGCAAGCCACGAGCTCTTCGTCTGTTTGGATGTACCCGTATCGAGTTTAGGCATTTCTACAGAGGTTCGCCAGTTGTCTCAGAGTAGCTTCTGTTGCGGATTATCCAGCTGATTGGCGAGCCCCCTGCCACTCCGTTTCAAGCTTGATCTCCCGAGTCCGACCACCAGGTTTGGCGCCGGAAAATCATCGAGAGGTAACGTGGTTAATCGTAAGTCTCTGAGACCCATCGGGGATGCTGGCCAAGACCGACCTGTCGGGGGCCGAATAGCTATGGCGTAGTGTGATCCCCGGATGCAACCGGAGGTGGGATTTAGCAAATTGTAGAGTCGGTTGCATCACGGCATTATTCCGGCCGATAAGGTGGTAGAGGTCTTCGTCCCTGTTGATTACAACGCCCGCCAGAGCCTGATCGGGTCGGAGATCCGCTAACATCTACTACGAGACTTGAAAGTCGAGGACATGGCCGTGACTCTCATTGAGGTTGGCCAGATTGAAGTCGTTCCGGATAGTGACACCATCGTGAAACTCGGGCCATAGCCTGCCGATGGTGTTTTTGTTCGCTGTTGACCTGCAAGGGACGAGCGGTTTCCTTTGGCTAAGTACATGTCGTAATGTAATAACACTAGCCATGTTCGCGACGGAGATAATAAGTAGCTTGACTTTATAATTCAAAGTGGATTTTGGAGTGTAGGCAAATATGCTTAGTAAAGGGAAGCTTCGCGATGTTTCTCGTTCCTTACGCAAAGGACGGCGGGAGCTCTAGGGTTGGATCTGAAGGCATGGGCATTTGTAGAATATAACCTCCTCCGCTTGGAGTAGAACTGCCACCGGTGAAAACAGACTCCGGATCCCGGCTCCCGCCGAGGTGTTACACGAGGCATTGGGCTTCGTTTGCGTTGCTGCGTGTCTCCGTACCTAACCGGACTTACATTATTCAAGCTGTATGGAAATTGAGGCTTTCTTGGCTGTCACTGTTGACACAGTAGTGAAAAAGGTAGGGGCTGAAAGCATGTATCAGCCTCCCGAAGGTAGTGAAAGGGGTCTGGGGATGACGGAGCCGAATCACCACCATACAAACACCGCAGGACAACTTCTTAAGAGCGCTTTCAGCTCCGTCGGCGATGCCTCTGGGTCACGACGAGTCTGCACATCAAATCTTGGTACAACACACTTAACTCGCCACGCTCTCAAGATCCGGTCAGCTCTGATAGTATCATGACTCACCAGGTTCCCGTGGGCCATTTCAAAGAATGGCTGCATGGCAGGAAAGCTGCAGCCCTGGTGATGGCTACACACCAAAGGGGCATGGCACAGCTTGAAACACAATGTTTACACAAGCTGCTGAGACAGATATGGATCTCTATTGTTGGAAGCGGGCCTGCGCAGCCGACGCTCCATCGTCTATATGCAAGTCTTAAATGCTACGTCGTTAACCCGATCTACCTGTTTTGCTAACGACACGATGCTCACTCGAGGAGGTCGGGCAGCCATGCTAGCTAACATCCGCGACGTTCCCTCAGCCTTTCACAGAGTCAAGGTCGACCCCTCCTCTGAAATCGCTCCTCGCTGCAGAGAACTCTATTCTCAGCTGTGGCAATAGAACGAGAAGCCTTGTGACTGTCGTTAGTAACCTCCTGTAGCTGCTCTCGACTAAAGATCAAGGGAAAAGATATCTAGAAAACCTTATACATATTCGAGAATGTTGCCCGCAAGAGTTTTTTGTACTCCCCATTTCGAATTTACCTGTGTTGTGACCTCCCTGTACTTTGCCCTTTGTCTTGCTACTAGAAAATTAATTTTTGATGTGCTAGCTGTTGTTGGAATATTTGCAGGGATATAGAAACAAAACTTAGCTCGGACCTGATCGGACAATCCAATACCGTCGGATGTCACAGAATTCCCAAAATACCACTATAAAACAGGCCTTTTTAGATAGCAAAAGGTCTTCTGAAGTCATACTAAGGTCACACTATAGAAAGGAAAATATTTTAAAAATAGAAACTAATTTTAGCTAGGGTTTATAATATAAAAACTATTTTAGTAAAGAAAAAATTACTAAGATAATTTCTATAGAATTAATTACTTTTTCTAATATAAAATAGAAGGTAGTAAAAAGCTAATTTCTTCTTATTTAGTTAATATAATAATAACTTCTTTTATAATTATTTAATAATTATAAGTTTAAATTTACTTTTTTTATAAGATAATTGCAAGGGAGTAACAATTAGCACAATAGACCAAAAGATCCACCAGTTCCAACACCACATATTAGAACTACTCCCTTACATCTACTTAAGAACCCTCTTAATCATGGCGCGACCAGCCACTTCTAGGTATTCTATTATATATATTTAATTTATCTTTTATAATTTCTACTTTACTATTTACTTTTTTTAAAATAAAAAATTATTTATTAAATTTAAATAAATTAACTTTAATAAGATAATAATTTTTACTAAAATAGAAATTATAAAAATTAAAAACTAAAAAATTATATAGTTTATAATTAAAAAATTCTATAAGTTTAAAAAATTAAAAGTTTATTAGGTCTAGTAAAATCTTAACTTTTATATTAATATTATTTTTACTAGACTTTAATATATAAAAAAAATTATAATTAATAAGAAAACTAAGTTATTTTATTATAAAAATAGTAAATATTTTTTTATTAAACTTACTTATATAAAACTATTAATAGCTCTTATTAGTATTAGAAAAAATATATTTATTTAAAATAAATATTTACTTTTTATTAATATTTTTTATTTAAATATTAAAAAAATTATTTTTATAGTAAATATAAAAATATAATATTATTATTTTAGCTATTTTAATTTTAAAATATTAAAAAAGCTATTAAATATAAACTTAATATAAAAATAATAAAAATAACTATATTAAAATATATAATAGAATACCTAGAAGTAGCTAGTCGCGCTATAATTAAGAGGGTTCTTAAGTAGATATAAGGGAGCAGTTCTAACATGTAGTGTTGGAACAATTATAAGATAATTGTAAGGGAGTGACAATTAGCACAATAGACTAAAAGATCCACCAGTTCCAACACCACATATTAGAACTGCTCCCTTATATCTACTTAAGAACCCTCTTAATTATAGCGCGACTAGCTACTTCTAGGTATTCTATTATATATTTTAATATAGTTATTTTTATTATTTTTATAGTAAATAGAAAAATATAATATTATTATTTTAGCTATTTTAATTTTAAAATATTAAAAAAGCTATTAAATATAAACTTAATATAAAAATAATAAAAATAACTATATTAAAATATATAATAGAATACCTAGAAGTGGCTGGTCGCGCTATGATTAAGAGGGTTTTAAGGGAGCAGTTCTAATATGTGGTGTTGGAACTGGTGGATCTTTTAGTCTATTGTGCTAATTGTCACTCCCTTACAATTATCTTATAATTGTTCCAACACTACATAGGTCTACTGGATTAGGTAATTCGGGCTGGGTATATGTGATCGCTAGTTTGAAACCCAGTCAGCATAGAGGCGTTTTTCCTGTGCAGTATGGAGGTTTTCCTGTGCGAGAGGCCTAGAGGTTTCCTATGTGACTGTTATAGGGCATGATGTGGTAGGTGTCGTGAGAGGCACACCTGGGCATATAGCTGCATTAATCCTTTATCAGGCTCATAAGGTGCGCCCTTGGGGGTTTACATCTACTAATTACATCTTAGCCAGCTCTATTTAAGGCTCGGGACGAGCCTACTTAGAGGGGGAAGAATTGTAATAGAATACCTAGAAGTAGCTAGTTATGCTATGATTAAGAGGGTTTTTAAGTAGATATAAGGGAGTAGTTCTAATATGTGGTGTTGGAACTGGTGGATCTTTTGGTCTATTGTGCTAATTGTTACTCCCTTATAATTATCTTATAAAATATAAGATCTATTTTCTTTTAAAAACTA